GCTTGACTCATACATATACAAGATATTGCAAATAAGGGAAACCATGGGACCTGTGTTTCTTTGTGCCTGGCTTACTTCACTTAATATAATTTTTTCCAAGTTTTTCCATTTCCTAGCAAATGGAGCAATGTCCATTGTGTATATATACCACATTTTCTTGATCCATTCATCTACTGAGGGGCATCTGGGTTGGTTCCATATCTTAGCTATGGTAAATAATGCTTCAATAAACATAGTTGTGCTGGTAGCTTTAGTGTGGTCTTGTTTGTAAACATTTGGGTAAATGCCCAAAAGTGGAATTGCTGGGTCATAGGGGAGCTCTATGTGAAGTCTTTTGAGGAACCTCCAATGAGGTTGGAATATTGATGGGTATTGCATTGAATTTGTAGATAGCCTTGGGAAGTATTGCCATTTTCACGATGAATCTTTCCAATCCAGGAGCATGGGAGTTTTTGCCACTTTCTAAGTTCTGTTTTGATTTCCTTTTTCAGGTTTTTAAAGTTTTCATCATAGAGGTCCTTTACTTCTTTGGTTAATTCCTAGGTATTTTATTTTTTTCGAATGGAGTTGCTTTCCTGATTTCAGCCACACTTTTCTCATTGTTGGCATACAGAAAAGCCATTGATTTTTGAGGGTTAATTGTATATCCTGGTACTTTGCCAAAGTTTTGAATCTCCTTGAGTAATTTGGGAGTGGAGTCCATGGGATTCTTTAAATACAAGATCATGTCATCTGCAAAGAGGGAGAGTTTTACTTCATCTTTCTCTATTTGGATCCCCTTTATGTTTGCTCTTGTCTTATTGCTGTAGCTAGGCATTCTAATACTATGTTGAAGAGCAGTGGGGAGAGTGGACATCCTTGTCTCGTTCCTGAGTTTAGAAGAAATGGCTTTAGTTTTTCACTATTGAGTATAATGCTGGCTGTAGGTTTGTCATATATAGCCTTTACTGTATTGAGGAAGGTTCCATGGATTCCTAATTTTTCGTAAAGGGGTGTTGGATCTTGTCAAATGCTTTTTATGCATCTATTGAACCATGTGGTTCTTATCCTTGCTCTTATTGATGTGATGAATTATGTTAATTGATTTGCATATACTGAAGCAGCTTTGCATCCCTGAAATGAATCCTGTTTGATCGTGGTGTATGATTTTTTTGGATGAATTGTTGAGGTCGATTGGCCAAAATTTTGTTGAGAAGTTTTGCATCAATGTTCATCAAAGATATGGGTCTATAGTTCTCTTTCTTTGATGAGTCCCTGCCTTGTTTTGGGATGAGGGTTAATATAGCTTCATAGAATGAATTTGGTAGTGAACTATGCCTCCATCAGAAAGAATGACATTGCCCCATTTGTTAGGAAATGGAAAGACTTGGAAAAAATTATATTAAGAGAAG